GATGGATGGAGGGGTGAAGTTTATTTTCGCTCCAAGTCTTTTAATTTCACTTTCTACACATCCAATTTTATTTTATTTAACTGCAAGGCCAAGGACAAAAATCATGAACTATATCTCCAGTTTTCCAGTAACTAGGAAGGCAGACAGACTAACTGGCTGGTTTTGAAGCAAGTCTTTTACTGTGTACATAGAAGAGATTAATACAGGAAGAATTCATCACAGATGAAATAAGATATGGATAATAGTGTCTGTTTTGGTTGTAAGCTGGGTAAAAATTAATACATAGTTCTTTAATAGGTGGGATCCTGATATGCTGTTTTCATTTGTACATCTAATTTAGTTTTTAGTAAAAGATCTCAGCTTTTGTTTGTGTCAGAAGCACAGAAGATATAAGGATATAAACTAAAATGGTTTTAGATGAAAAAGGCTACTTGGTTGGGTATAAATATTGATACACTTTCTTTGCTGCTGTGATGTACAAAATAGTCCCATATCTGAGACGTTTCTTACCTGTTTTGCAATTTCCACCTATTAACTCTAATATTTCAAAAAAAAAAAAAAAAGGCAGAGGAAAATAGACTGCTTGGATCATTTTGCCTTTTTCAAGTTGTTAAACTCCTTTATAATAGATAAAACAGATTTTGTAAAAATCATAATAGCTGTAGATTCAATTGTACCTATCGTGGCATTTAAAAATAGAATAATGCATATGCTGTGGCTATACATTGCCTGTATTATACCTATATCATATAACAGGCAGAGAGTTTCTTTTATTGGAAAGTATAAATATTTATAAAGTGCTGGCATTATTACTATCATTGTTATTACTATTATTTCTGTATTATTTTAAAAAGAATAAAATCTTTATCAGGAGACTTTGATGGGTCAAGTTAACTAATGCGGTGGCATTTTCATTGTGGATGAGAAAGTTCAGCTGAGAAATGACTCAAAGCAATGTTCATGCAGCCACTTCATTGCAATGTATCCAGCCGTTTTGTTGTACTTCTGTCAATTTCTTCTCTCCAAGTGGCCACAGCATGGAATTACTGATTGGACAGATGCTGCCAAGTCGCCTCAACACAGATTTGCATAGCTTTGCTGTGCAGTATCACAATTCCTTCAGGCTGAGCATCAAACATGGACAAGCAGAAACCACCAAAGGTTGCCAATTAAACCAGCATTCTCAGTACACACAGACTATTATTAGTAGGCAAGATCATAGCCAGCATAAAACTTCCTGGTACAGGTAACAGTGCAGTTACCAGATGCACCCACCCCAAGTTACAGCTCAAAGTAGAAGTTATAGGCCTGGTGCTTAACAATCTTTGTGAACTTACACATCCCCTGAACCAGCCATGTCACTGGACAGAACTAGACTCAACACTTATATCCAAGACACTTCACTTTGGACAATATTCTACCTTGGCTGTCTTCTCAGAGAAGATCTGCCAGTTCTGATTTGCTAGCCTTTGCTGCTATTGATATTTCCTTCTGCTAGTGGCTGGAAGAAGAGATACAACAAGGAGCCAGGATCATCAGCTGCCAACATGCCATAGTTGCCTACGCATCATGTTCATTGCACATCATGTTACTTTCCTGATTGGAAAAAGTTGATGTTCAGGAAAAGGAATATGTTGCAGCCAGGATTGGCCTCTAACAATCTAGTTTTAGATTATTTTGGTACTTGGGCTGCCTATCCTGTTCTAAATGGACAATTTAAATGACCTATTCTAATCAGGGCTGATCTAACAGTTCAAACCCATAAGATAGTCACATGCATTCTGGTGAATAAGATTAAGAAGCAGTTGTAAGATGCTAGATACTTGGTGCTTCTGAATGTGGACATAATGCGAAATTGACTTCAATAAAAATCAGTTGCAGCATAAAGAAAATAAACATCCTATAAACTTAGTAATAAAAAATAGCATGTGGAAATAATCAAAAAAACAATGTTAAACCAAGCACATCCTCAAAGCAGAAAAGAGGGGCCCTTGGTGCTCTCTCAGCTTGATCATGTTACCTAGTTTGGGTAATGTAACATCTGCAAGAAAGCAAACAAGCTCAGAGAGCACCAGGGCCCTCATTTCAATCCTGAGCTACAAATATTATCCTTTACTGATCTCAAAAAGACATGGTAAAATATACATTCAATACAGAGTACAGAATAACAGAGTTGGAAGGGACCTTGGAGGTCTAGTCCAATCCCTGCTCGGGCAGGAAGCCCTATACCATTTTAGACAAATGGTTGTCCAGTCTCTTCTTAAAAATTTCCAGTGCTGGAGCATTCACAATTTCTGGAAGCAAGTTGTTCCACTGATTAACTGTTCTAACAGTCAGGAAATTTCTCCTTAGTTCTAAGTTGCTTTTCTCCTTCATTAGCTTCCATCCATTGTTTCTTGTCCTGCCTTCAGGTGCTTTGGAGAATAGGTTGATTCCCTCTTTTTTGTGGTAGCCCCTTAGATATTGGAACATTGCTATCATGTCATCCCTAGTTCTTTTCATTAAACTAGACATACCAATTCCTGCTACCATTCTTCATATGTTTTAGCTTCCAGTCTCCTAATCATCTTTGTTGCTCCTATTTGCACTCTTTCTAGAGCAGGGATCCCCAATCTATGGTCCGCGGCCTGGGACTGGGCTGCGGGCTCTTGGCCAGCAGGCATGGAAATGGCTGGCCGGTACACGCATGCATGGGCGCGCATTTCCTCCCACTTGTGCTAGCGCCCACGACTGTTTGCGCATACACATGGATGCAAACAGGAATGATAGCGCGGGACAGGTGTCTGCAGCCCGTTTGCGCATGCACTGCTAGCCTGGGCAGTTTGTACAGCCTGTTTGTGCATGCGGGAACGGGCTGCTAACTGCCGTGGGGATGTGTGGCTGTTCGTGCATGCACACGGCGCCAGCACATGCCACATGCGCAAATGGGGCTGCTAGTGCCACACCAGTGTGCGTGGCCCTGTGCACGCATGTGCACACGCACACTAATTTTGAAACTGCTCTCCTTCCCTCTGGTCCTCAAGTGCGGAAAGGTTGGAGACCTCTGTTCTAGAGTCTCATTATCTTTTTTACATTGTGGGAACCAAAACTGGATACAGTATTCAAAGTGTGGTTTTACCAAGGTTTTATAAAGTGGTATTAACACTTCACATGATCTTGATTTATCCCTCTGTTAATGCAGCCTAGAACTCTGTTGGCTTTTTTGGCAGCTGCAGCACACTGCTGGCTCATATTTAAGTGATTGTCCATTAGGACTCCAAGATCCCTCTCACAGTTATTGAACAAGTTACCACCTTTACAGTACCTGTGCATTTGTTTTTTCTTGCCTAAATGTAGAACCTTATTTTTTTCACCATTGAATTTCATTTTGTTAGATAGGGCCCAATGTTCAAGTCTGTCAAGAGCCTTCTGTATTTTAAGCCTATTCAATAGATGGGATTGGCTTAAAAACAGTGCTAAGTATGGTTTGTTAAATAAGGTGTAAAAGTTGCATTCACACTTACTGAGAAGTTAAACCAATCATGTTATAGTTTAAAACAATGTATGAATCCAGCTAGGAAGGCTTAAAATATTTTATACAGAGGGTAGGCTTGAGATTTATGGACATATTGCTATAATTTGTAATAGCATATTTCTAAGAAATATAGAATTCTAAGTGAACTCTGATTTTTGTAGTATGAATGAACACATTTTCAAAAATGTTAAATGATGGCTTCAGTAATGTGATAAATTTTGGGCAGATTCAGGCATACTGCAGTACTACAATTTTGTGCTCTGTATTGTGTTTTTGGTCTCATGATTTGAAAAAATACACGAAGATTCTTTTACAGTCCCAAGCATGTAATGTTTATTGCATTGGGTCTGGTAAAACAAGGGTTCATTGTATCTGTATGACACTATACACAGTCTGTTCAATAGAAGAGACTCTGCAGTTTGTTCACGTTTGAAAATGTTTCCATGATGCCAGATAGGACATTCATTTTTTTAACCATAATAAAAATAGTCTTTAAGAAGCATAGGTACAATTGTGGCTGTCCAAGTTATGATTTTGGTTTGTTTAATTTTAATTAAATTAAAAAATTAAAAACACCTGTCTCAACTACTTTTACTGATTTTTTACAGTTGAGCACGGAGATAAATAGTATGGAATACCATAAATGATGTGACCATATATGCATACAAACATAAATCTAATTAAAGCTGCTTCCTTTGAGCAAGCAGGTAGCTTTTTTGTTTCCTCAAACTTGTCTGAAAGATCATGTGCTAAATACTTTGGGCATGGGCATACAATGAAATGAGTGATTTATTTCATATCTGCTCATTTTTCTCCCACGTAGGCACAGAAAATATCATTTCAATGAATGGGGAAATGGGTTTATTATCATTTGCTCCCATACTAGGGCAAAAAGGCAGTGGCCTTGTACTGTTTACAGAGCTGTAAAAGCAGTATCTTTCCCCTGCCATTTATGATAATGACATCTCCAGTCAATTGATTTACAAAAAAATTCCCTGCATATCTCCCTCTCTCTCTCTCTCTCTCTCTCTCTCTCTCTCTCTCTCTCTCTCTCTCTCTCTCTCTCTCTCTTGAATATTAAAAGGCAGAGTTGGAATATTAATCCCTTCCCCCATGTTCTTGCATCTTCTCATTGCTAATTTATATAATTTATGAAGTTATACCGCTCAGACCCTGCCTCCCTGAGATGCCTTTTACCATTTCAGCTTATCTTCCAGGAAGTGCAATGAATTAAAGGCAGCCACTCTTTTTATTTTCTAAGATTGCATCTCAGTAAATCTTAGAAAATAAAATAAGAACCATTCTTGGAAGTAAAAATGGTGCCTGGGGTTAGTACAACATGCTAACTTCCTACAGCATTTCTTTATTTGGAATATATATTCATTCCAAATAAAATTAGATAGAGCCTGGTTGATACTAAGGCAAGTAGGTGAATCTGCTGTAGGAATAAGCAATTTTTCAAGTCTATGTCTGCATTCATTCATAGGTAGTATGATGAACTACTTGTGCAATCAAACCTCTGTGATGACGGGCACACAGAAAACTTCTTCCTCACAATCAGGTAGGGATAAAAAGGAGACCTCTTCTCTAGCATGACAGCATACTTCCTAGCAATAGGCCAAGCAGATGAATGAGGATCAGCAATACTTACACACGCCCAGTGCATACCTGCTATATAATATAATATAGTCTGAAGTAACATTCCTTAAATATACTGTGTGCATTTTGTAAGCATAGAAAAAAAATGCTTTTTATTTTATTCTCTAAGATTTATTGAGATGCAATTTTAGAAAATAAAAAGAGTGGTTGCCTTTAATTCATTGCTTAATGGCACCTAGATATATGAATTTCTGTTTTATGTTCCTAACATTAATTTATCAGAAACCCCTCCATTTCTTTTCCACTTTTCATTGTATATAGCAGACATGTCAAACACAAGGCCCGGGGGCCGGATGCGGCTCGCAAAGTGGTTTCATGTGGCCCGCGAAGCCATCCTGGAAACAGTGAGGGAACGGCCCCCTCTGCCTTGGCCCTGGCCCAGGCCACCTGGGAGCCAATGTACAATTTTGTGGTGGCCATCTATGCTGAAACACATTCAGTCTTAGCTCCATAACCCCCCCCCCCTCCGCATGGCCTGAGAGGAACAGCGAGGCTCCTCCAGTTGACCATGCCTTGGCACTTGTCCTGATCTCACCTCCTTCTGTCAGAGACCCTCAGATCTGTCCCATTCCTGCCCAGGCCCCCACAGGCACCCTTGATGCAAACAATGTAGTGCTGGCCACGCCTACTCCATCCATGCCCACCCAGTAGGCCACACCTACCCTGGCCACACCCATCAGCCCCCTGAGGGCAACCACAATGCTGATGCGGCCCTCAATGAAATTGAGTTTGACACCCCTGGTATATAGTAATCCAGCTTTAATATATTAGCAAACAGATATTATTGGGAATATTTTTCATATATTATATTATATTGCGTAGTATTGTATTATATACTATATATGCATACACACATACATACAAATACACATACATACTTACATACTGCTTTGGGACTGAATTATGTTTAATTTCAAAAATATAAACATACATACAAGTAATGAACTTATAGCTACAAGCAAATACCACCTTTTTTAATCCTTAAAGTTCAGTGATAGCAAAACTCTAGTTGAAACCTAAGCTATAGTATAAATTAGAAGCTACTTCTTATTGAATATAAAATTGTTATTGATACATGGGCCACATGATTGAAGAAAAAACATATGTAATTAAATATATTATGCCTATTTGTATAAAATACAAAAGATGTCTAATATGTGAGAGCAGTAAATAGCTCAAGTTACAAACTGAAATTGCCCTGTTGAAAAAGATAAGTTTCTTTAACTGTAGCTGCCCATCAGACAAGCTATATGTGATTTGATTAATATACTAAATATACTAAAATTCAAATAGTTTAATTAAAATTAAAGTTGATTAAAGGGCTATGTTCATTCTATGTTACTGGTTAAAAACAGAAATGATAGCATTATTTACACATTTTCCATGATTTCTGTCAGAAAAGATGTGCTCTGAAAATTGATGTGGCTGTGGAATCACAAGCAGAGAATCAGGCAAAGGAGCATATGTGGAGAGAAGAAACTGAAGAAATGCTGACAGAAAAGAAATTTATGTTATGATGATGAATAAATCAAGTAGAGTACTTACTATGTGTTTCACTAGGATAGACAAAGGAAGGAGAAGGAAGGGAGAGAGAAAGAAAGAAAAGAAAGAAAAAGAAAGAAAAGAAAGAAAGAAAGAAAGATTTGGCTGCCTTTAATTGCCGTTTGTGAATGCTGTAAGCTGAGTCTGTTCTTTTCCTTCCATCATGTCCTCTTCAAATACCTCCTCAGAAAACTTGCTTAACTTTTTGTTTAGAAGGGGGATGCAATTTTTTGATCAATGAGGAACAACAATAAATTATCTGCCATTTCTTGATAGAGAAAGCTACAGTACAAGAGGCAGTTGCTAGCATTTTAAAAAAAATTCTTTTAAAGATTGTAGCCTTATAAAATTTGTACCTAGTCAAGCATATATGAAAGATCAAATCTTTTCCAAACCTGTCATTATATAGAATGCTATATTGAACAGGCCCTCAAATAATACTTTCATTGTTTGCAAAATATTTTTATTTTTAAGAGTTTAACTGAGCTTACATTTGAATTTTTACACAAAAATACCAAAGAACAATATTTGCCTTTCACCTGTTTGTCTCATCACCTGAAAATGGAATATTTTCAAACTGTTACATTTTGGTCGCATCTATCTAGACCAAATTTCAAATATTTATAGACATATTTTCTTACTGCTGTTAAGTATGTGTCAGGATTTGTCTTACAGCTCTTAAAATATTGAGGAAAAAACCTTCACAATATTCTCTCCAGTTACTAATTTGGAAAAATTATTATGTTTGTTGAATTGGTGACATGGGAAACTGCTGTTGATAGGAAATTCAGCTATACATGTGAATCCTAATTGCAAACACAATCTTGCTATAGCCACTAAACTGGATATTTGTTTGCAATTTGTGGATGAATCATAATGAACAACTCCCTCTCTTCACAACATAGAAACTGTTCTGTTTGTCTGACAGTCAAATCCAGTTCTGTTTGGAAGGCTCTGAAACAAACACTTCAACAAAGAACTACCGTAGATACTTCAGGGAAGTTAAGATCAAGATTTACCATGATATGAGCATAGTCAAAACAGCAAGGTTATGAGATTAAAAGATTGAAGAGTTACTTTCAAGTATTATTTTAGCAGTCTGCAAGCCTGACTTATACAGCCTGATCTCTTAAGTTCCAGCAAAGTTCGTGTATGTATGGATGCATCTCAACCAATAGCAGAGGTTTGGCTCTTTTTTTCAAGACGACTTCTGCTTCTGACTTCTAGATGGTGTGGACTGCCTAGGTTTCACCCTTTGATGCCAGTGCTCTTTACTAGGGTAATTCAGATCCTCTCCCTGTACCCAGATAGAATTCCTTTTATCTCAGTAGAGCATATTCTAGCTGAGTAGAACCTCCTTGATGAAGCATTACCTTGGATCTTCTGGTTCAGAGTGATATGATTTTTCCTTCAAAAAAGAATTGGCCAGTAAAAGAATGATAAAAATACTGTATAACAAAGTATGGCCTTACATTAATTTGTGAGCTTCTCTTTTACCAGGAGAAGTTAAAATATTATATGTAGGTAGGTAATCATCTTGAAATCACACATTATAATTTTGCCATCCAACAACAGTGAATAGGAAGGCGGTACAGGTCAGATGAGTTTGCCATGAACATAGTTTTCAGTGACCTGGTTCCCACATAAGAGGAATTACAAAGCAGAAAGGGAAGCAGCTAAACTATACTGGAGTATAACAGTAACATGGTGTTTGTTGGTGTTGCACAACCAAAAAATATCTGCTTGAATCACAAAACAGGAATTTGTGATGGATAATTTTTAAGTTGGGAAAGAGCAGGAAAGTATAATTTTCTGTAAAATTAACTATAAAAATGATTGAAACCATTTTAGTTTTGAAGAATCTTTAAGAAGAATAGCGATGAATTTTCATGAATGAAAATGGATAATGTTAATATATAATTATCCTGTCTAAAATAGATGAATATGTTTGGGAGGTTGGGAACTGTGATAGGTATGTTTGCTTCTGATGATATGGGGATGACTCCGTATTATTAGCTTCATAAGCCCAAGGCAGTAAAATCTAACTTAAGTCATAGTAAATTAACTAATTGGTTTAATGAAGAGAAGGACGAGGAGGAACATTATAGCAGTGTTCCAATATCTCAGGGGCTGCCACAAAGAAGAGGGAGTCAAGCTATTTTCCAAGGATGGAAACTAATCAAGGAGAGAAGCAACTAGAACTAAGGAGAAACTTCCTGACAGTTAAAACAATTAACTAGTGGAACAACCTGCCTCCAGAAGTGGTGAATGCTCCAACACTGGAAGTTTTTAAGACGAGACTGGACAGCCATTTGTCTGAAATGGTATAGGGTTTCCTGCCTGAGCAGGGGGTTAGACTAGATGACCTCCAAGGTCCCTTCCAACATCATCATCATCATCATCATCATCATCATCATTATTATTATTATTATTATTATATAGACGAAGTTGGATACAAAATAATGCTATTTTCCAAATGAAACTGGATTCTGCTGGGTGCTTCACAATTTAAAGCCTCTTTTTGTATATGATATATATTATTGATATTTAATATTTATATTTTAATATTTAGGAAAAACATGATGTAACAATGGAAGGTCTCTTTGAACTGCAGTACTTTAAAAGAGAAGGCTTGCATGGTTCTTTGTAGTTTCCTGAGTTGGTGAAACACACTATATTTTTTCACAGAAATTAGAATTTTTCTGAGAAAAGGGGCCCTCATTTATTAAAAAATGTCATGTTACAATTTCTACTTGCATAAAATTAATTACCTCGTACCATACATTGTATAGCGACAGAAGGACTGTTAGAATTTTCCTTGTCTCTAGACATCCTTGGTCCTGCTTTGCATCCTTTTCTTTGCTGGGGCAGCGTGGGGAATAGAAGGAAAAGCTGAAGGATTTCAGTGGAAACTGAAGACGTACATAAATCTTGGTAATCTAGCTGCTATTGTGACATTAATTAATATCTCATCATTCCCCTGAAAGCTCATCAGTCTGGGTTTTTCCTAATTTTATTTTCAAAAGACTTAGTGAGGTGGTTGGATTGAGGTAAGAGGTACCTATCCACCCAATCATATACAGATAGCATCTCTTTATAGCAGTGGTTCTCAACCTTTTTAATGCCGCGACCCCTCCCAACTGGTCGTAAGTCGAGGACTACTCAACTGGTGCAGCACCGTTTGCAGAATGGGACTTTTGGCGGGCTCAGCAGGGCAGAGACAGCCTGGACAATTCCTATTGGCTTTTGAAAGCCAATAGAATTAGACTCTATTCAAGAGAGTCTATTCTATTGGCTTTCAAAAGCCAATAGAATAAAAGGGAGTAGCACAGCTAAGGAAAAGGGGAAAAAAATGGCGGACTGCGTTGTTTGGCGACCCCCATGAAATGGTCATTCGACCCCAAATGGGGTCCTGACCCACAGGTTGAGAACCACTACTTTATAGGCTGGGGCATATTTAATATTTTGAGGAAAGAAGAGAGGCATGGGCTCTGTTACTGTTTCTTTCCAGCAATATTTTGTGAAAATATACTTTGTTATTAAAACAATTTTAAATCTAGTTTAGAGACTCTACTACATTTGCACAATTTCCTCAATAGGGAGAAAACCATGTTTCTGATTTTCAGCAACTGTAGATGAAGAGAGCCTAGGCCCTAAAGAGTTGTAAAAGACAAAGGGGGATGTCCATGGTCTCAGAAGAACTTGAATTTAGATCTTCCCAGTCCAATAACTTAGCCACTACACCAGAGATTTGAAGTGATTTCAAGAGGCAAAATGGCTATGGCATCTTAATGTCTCCTAAAAATCCAGAACTCTCCCCCCCATTGGACATTTTTTCACATTTTTGGGTAGTTTAAGCAGCACACTAGTGCTTTAAACCTCCACAATTTTAGTCCTTAACTCTCCCCCCAAAAAAAAACATTTCTAAAAGGATTTGTAGTTCTGCAAATATTGCCCAAGCCACTTGGATGGCACCCCTCATCCTTTGGCTTCAAAACAGTCTTCAGATGAAAAAGTACTGTCCAGCTTCTAATTGAAATGATGGTGAAAAATATCTGACTTGCAAAGTATCAACATAGTTGTAATAATGCATAGCATTGAATTTGTATATAAAGCATTTCCTGTAAATTCCATAATCCTTATAACAGCTCTAAAGAGTATTCAGGTTTGCCTAATATTGTAGTTTGTAGGACAGAGTTAACAGGAAATGGTCTTGTAATAAATCTTAGATTAGATTAGAGAGATTAGATTAGATTAGAACAGAATTTTGGGCTTAGATTTTAGTTTCTACAACATACAATCTAAAGGATTAGAGTTGAAGATTAATTTACTTTAATGATTAATCAATCATGACTTAAATTTCAATCTCTTTTTGTAGGAGAACCTATAGAAGGTCTTCGAGAGAGTGATTACCTATTGATTCATTCATGCCGACAGTGGACAACTATTACAGCTCATAGTCTAGAGGAGGGCCATTACGTCATAGGACCGAAGATAGAAATTCCAGTGCATTATGCCGGTAAGTGTAACTTCAGCTGTGGACTTCAGAAAACTGAATAGTTAGCTGCCCAGTTTATCAGCTACAAAAAAACTACCCCTGAGAGAAACCATGACAATTTTAGCAAATTAAGACATAGAAATATTGTAATTTATCTCTACAGCTTCTGATATGCTTCTGTTAAGAGGTGTGATTTATCTAATAAAGTTTCATTGACTGCTGAAGGAAAATAGTATTTGTCTTATGCAAAGCTATTACAATGTACAACAAAGATTTTGCTTCCTGAACACTTTTGGGTATATCTTGCAGATTTTGGGCTATTAATTAAACATGAACATAAACTCAAATTCAGCTTATCACATACCATTTTATAGAAATCTGTTTTTACAAGTGGCAATGTACACTTTCAGTACCTTTTGACTAGGCTGAATATATAAAAGAAACATACTAGAACTTGGAACTATTGTTGAAGCACATTCAGTACAACAAGATCTCCAATATCTGTGGAGATCTAAAAGTAATGACTCTACTACTTGGAATGGAGCTCAGATATACCAAGCACTGTTGTTACACATGCAAATGAGACAGCCGTGCAAGAGAGTTGCATTACATGAAAAAGAAATGGCTACTCCAAAAGAATTTGATTCCAGGACCAAAAAACATGGCACATGAACCACTTGTTGATCCAAGAAAGATATTTTTGCCTCCACTTCACATAAAACCTGGACTGGATGAAAATTTTTGTGAAGGTAATGAACAAGGAAGGCTCTTGTTATTTGAGACAGATGTTTCCAAAAATAATTGATGTCACGACTGAGGAAGGCATTTTTGTTGGTCCATAATCAGATATATCATCAATGACAAGTGGTTTGAAGATCTGTTAGTGGGGCCAGAAAAAAAATGCCTGAAAAGCATTCAGGAATGTCTTTAAGAATTTTCTAGGCAGATACAGACCACCAAACTACATTCACCTGGTTGACAAACATCTTACAGCACACAAGACTATGAACTTGCAATATGTCACTGAATATTCATTTTCTGCATTCACACTTGGCTTCCTTTCCCAAAAATATAGGTGCAGTCAGTGATGAACATGCTGAAAGTTTTAACCAGGACATTGTCACAGTGGAAAAATGGTATCATGGAAACTGGAATCCATCAAAGTTAACAGGCTCTTGTTTGACTATGCAATGAAATGCATCAAAAACTGAGTACAAATGAAAACCAGCAGCAAAACACTTTTAGCCCTGTTGAACTCATGCTGCATGTCAGAAACATTATGCGATTACAGTACATTATAGTCATGAAAATTTTATTTCATATTTCTCAAGATTCCCACGTAATATAATTATTTTGAAATTATAAGTGATTCGGTGATTCAGTTTGAAGGGGTATATCATAAAAAGTTTTTCAGGAAGCAAATTTTTTGAAAGAAAATGTCTACTGATCAGAAGATATTGCAAAAAATGGTCAAGATTCAGCTGTATTGTGTTTAAAATGTTTAAGGACATGATACCCTTCTATTCTCCATGTGAGCTGTGGAAAAGGTGTCAGCAGAGAACATATAGTTATTGATTGATTCTGTTGTAAACAAGTATTGGGTAGCCTCTTCCGGTGTACTTAGATTGCACTTAATCTTTGTGGGTAACTATGTTGATGATGCAGATTGGGTGGAGGCAATCTATAAAATTTTATTGGGTTTATGGGATAAGCCTGGATTTTCTTTTTTCTTTAAAAAAACTACTTTAAGCATGTTTTAGGGGTTACAATTTTAAGTTTTTCTCATTTCAAAATGGAAGGATATTTTTTTATAATTTTCAACAACCACAAATAAGGTGTATCTGAAATTGCAAAAAATTATTCAATGATAGTAAATTGCATATCATTGCTGTACTCATTACATTATTTAAAGCTCATCCTGATCTTTTCTTTCTAGCAAACTACAGGAATTCAGTGTTCAACAGGTTCTTGTTCAAGGCAGACTTACTGCATTATCATCCCATAGATATAATTTTCTTTCATTTCTGGAGCAATCAAGACTTTATTTACTACTATAAACTTTGTCAGCCATACATATCTCTGCATTTGTTCTTAAAGACAAACACATTCAAATGGCAACCCCCTTTTTTTACTATCTTTCAGTAAAAATATTGTATTCCCACTATTTAATAAAGGGCAAAAAATATCAGTAACTCCAAAAAAGATCATGTCTTAAAATTTCTGTGCACAGCACAGACAGTAATAAAATCATTGCTGTTGTATGGCAGTAAAATCAATTACAGTTTGATTTAACATTGAATAGCCCATAAATCAATTTCCCCATGTTCATGTTCTGCATTTGTATAGTATAGTATAGCCAAGCCTTTTTTTTTTCTCTTCCTCCCTGGAGACTGTTGTGAGAGAGTAGAAGAATACAGTGGAGAAATTGTGCAGGAAGGAAGGAAGGATAAGAATAGGGTAAGTTTCATGGCAGAAGGAAGTGGCTGGAGGAAAAGAAAGACATCAGATTGGATTTATCATCTGGAGAAATGGTATTAGAAGGCAAAATTTGAAGATTGGTTGGCAAACTAGAGACTTGAGACAGTGTTTGGTAAAAAGAAGATAGACACCCCCCCCCCAGAGCTCTATCCTCTGAAGAGCTGCCTAAAAGCAAATATAGCATGTGGTGGAAAAGATGAGAGTCTGTGACACTCCTGCCTCAAATTTGATCAGCTGGATAAGGCTAATGCAATAAGTTAACATTGAGTCCCCTGGGAAGATGTGCCTGAATTGGGCCACTTCAGGATTTGCTGGCCTGGGTGAAAGGCAAGGAATAACTCAGAGAGCTCTTTCTAGAATGAGAGAACAAGGAAGCTGATCCCAGACTGAGGTCTTTAATGAAAGCAGAGCCCTGTGTGAGAGGATCACCGTAGAATTGTTGGAAAGATTAGCAATGTAATTAAAGAGTTGTTTCATGGGATATAAACTTGAGGTGGTTGAGAGATAGCAATAGGTGGGCTAGTTGGAGTAGTTTTGCTTGATTTCCAGCCCATCCATGGAATGATTGAGAAAGTGGGGGTGGTCGAGAAGAAGGAGGCAGAGGCTCTTGCAGTGGTCCTGTTCCCATAAAATGGATGTTGGGAAGGACATTTGGAGGGGCTGGGGAAGAAGAGTTGAAAAGTGGGTGAAATTAGGTTATGGTGATCAAGGAAGTTATAGTGCAAAATAGTGGGCTGGCTGGTCCAAGTAAAAAAAAAAAATGAGGTTGATTTCCTTTTCCACTCAACTGCCTAAGTCCTGAGTTTGAGTGGCTAGAATACTGGAAGCTGGGAACCCTGGCCTGTTCCTGATAAATGACACAATTTATAATTATATTCACAATTCAACTGCATTCATTTGTGCCTTGATCATAGATGGCACCTGGTATTATTACTGAAATCTGTTGGATGGATGTGGCCTATCAGTAATTTGCTCTTCCAGCTTTTAGATCCCAAAACAAAAGCAGTTCCACGATAGGAAAAGTGAGAAGATAATGAACCACAATTTATCTTATAGTGACCAGAAGCCCTTCTATAGAGGTGACAGGCTATGAAAGCTGTATATGAAATTGAGTTGTAGGGCGAAAATTGGGATTGTGTGACATCTTGCTGTATGGCAGAATGTCAGCCTGAGTTCTTAGACCTCAGTGCAGGGTTTGTTTTTGGAATATTATTGTCTATTGACACTGGAGGATTTAGAATCCATTATTGTGTAAGGAGATTGATTTCCACTGGTCTTGTTTAAGAAAATCTTACTCTCCTTTTGGGGTTAAGGTGCAGGGAAGTTGTCTTATTGGCTGCCAGGAGATACTGCAATACTGTACCAATAGAAGTGCTAAAATTCTCCCAGATTCCATGAGCCCTTCCTGGATCTGGAGGTCCTGGTGGGAGTACCTCTTACCCTTTAGTACTTAAGGATTGACTACTTCAATTCACTTACTATGGGCTATTTATGAAGACTACCTTAAGGTAACATTAATATAAAATACAGTGCCTACCTGTTGTTTTCATATTATGATTAGTTCTGTGTGCTGCATTGGTTTTCAGTAAGCTTCTGACCAGAAATTGAAAAGCTGCTTTTAACCTATACAACCCTTAATGACTTGACACCCAGCTACTTTCAGGATCACCTTCTTCAGGTAGAACCTGTTTACCTGGTTCACTCTTCTTGAATTGGGCTACTGAGGTTTTCTCAGCATGTGGGATTGCAGGGAAATGGCCAGGAAATAGTATTGTGCCATCTTTTATTCATCCAGCTTCCATAACCTCCATCTGGAAAATCAGATGACATGAACTCTGATTGTCTTCAGAGAGGCATTTAAGACAGAACTTTTCCGTAGCATTTTAATACCTGGTTGTTGGATTGCAGGTATCACTGTGGATAAATGTTTTCATAATTGATTTATTTTATATATTTGGTTTTTTATGGGATGTTGTAAATTCACAGAGTCCTTGTGGATTTGGCAGTACATCAGTATCTTAATATACTTTAAATAAATGTCTAGTTAAAGAGTTCTTCCAAAAGCCTTTATAATTTGACCATTATATAATAAATTACCTTACATTTGTTTAAAACAATGTATATCTCAAATTAAATTCAATTCAAGTTTAAATGTAAAACAAAACGTTTTTCTAGATCAGTACCTTAAACATGCAAAGATGCAGTTTAGAAAAAAAAATCCTATTACATATTATTACTTCTTTTTCCAGAACAATGTGATTTCTTTCAAACTCAAATCTGCTTAATTTGAAATGGCAGGGCAAAAATGTTTATTCTGTGTAGAACAAACGTAAACATTTCAAATGTTCTAGCCTACCTGCACTCTCATCTCTCATTTCAAAGCCACAAAAGTAGATAAGATAGTAGTCTGCGTTGACTGGTACTTACCACTTAGCCTAACTGATCAACCAAGGAGATGATTTTTATTTTTTCTTATTAAAAAAAAAACCAATTAGTAGAAACAGCATCTTTAGCAAGACTGCGTGCTTTGCATTTCTTGCCTG